ATAATAACTCATCCATCTTCCAGCCAGCTGGCAAAAGTAAACGGCTCGGGTTGTTTTGCTTCTTTATAGTCCAAAGGCTGTATGTCATTTTCTAAACATTGAATTGTATAACCTTCTCTGAGATGAAAGATTGTGGGGATATTTGAGTTTATAAGATATATATTTAGAATCTAGGAGGGTGAGGGAGTTTCAGACGGATCTCTAAAGTATTTTATTTAGAGATTCGAACCTTACGCCTGTTCAGGCTTCCCAAAAACATTTATGGGGTGGGGACCCCCTTTTTAATTTTGATTTTAAGAAGAAATATATAAAACATAAAATACATTGAATTAGTCAATAAAAAAAAGAATCAATGCTATTAGAAATATTTGTTTAACTAAAATTTAATGCACATTTTAATACACAAATTAGGAAACCATTTTCTAAATGGGTAGGAATTGGGGTTAGATAGTTCAGTTGTAATATCCTTCAGTAGTTCCTTGATACTGTGGACAGGTCTCTGTAATATTGCTATAACAACTGCATACTAAAAAAACTACATACTGCACACAGCACTGCACTATACAACTGCATAATGTGCGGGTGACTAGGTAAAATAATAATATATTTGTTAATTAGTTAACCAGCAAAGGTTAGGGAACCACCACTGTTTTGGATAACTTGGAAGCAGAATGGTTATAGTTAGGTAGTGTGAGAATTTAGAATTTTAGTTGGTTCGATCCTTAAGAAATCTGAAGCGTTTTGATTGTTAAAATTGGCCCCATATGTCTTTGATCAGTAAGGGTTTTGATAAATGGTCCGTCTAAAAACAGACTATTTTGGTATTCTTTGCTCGCTGATTTAAAATCAGTAAAGTTTAAAAATACACTTTAAAATAGTACACATGATGACTACTATTCAAGTAATGAAAAATTCAACACCATTAATACACAAACTTAAACACCCATCTACAATGCAAACTAAAAGCTCTATATTTTCTTGATTTATTTTGCCTGTCAGCAGGATTGACTATTTGTCATGTAGTTTAGCCGAGAAGCTCGGTTTCAGCTGACACGGTTGTCAAACTTTGGCGCGAATCTACAGGAAGAAGAGATAAGATAGCGATGGCTGTGGCCTTGACAGAGCGGCGCCGACTATAAATACAGGAGGCTGTGTCTTCCTGGCAGCAGTACTGTCGTGATGGCCGTATAATTGGACAGTAAAATTTGAAAATATCTCAGAGAGAACACTGCGTAGCAAACATCGCAGTAAATTTAAACCCACAACTCAAAATACCACTTGGAAAACCACAATGTGTGCAATTGTTGACAAAGTGTCCTTGAAAATATACATATATTTTTTTAACTTCATTTTTTTTACAATCTGTTTAGTACTTTGAACAATTAGTAAAAGGGATGATATAAATAAGTGTCTTGACCAAGAATCTCCCCTGTGAAAGATCATGCAAAATTAAATAGTCATGTCATCATAACTAAAACTTTGCAAATCGGTATGGGAGTTCAAGAACTTTCACAATTTCCTTGAAAATATGTTTTCCTACAGTCAACCGACTAAGTTGGCTTCCTTGTACTGTTTATAGTACAGAAAGCTGCTAATTGCTGCATATTTATACTTTGCCGTACGGTTTATACTTTGCCGCACATCAGGATTCCAACGAAACAACACAAAACAGCGTGGTTCCATTATGCACGTAATCCGTGTACGCTTGGAAATAGGTTGGCAACACTTAAAGATAATTATACTATGAGCAGCTGATGGACTATTATAACTACGATTTAACCTGTCATTTCGTGTTTATAGTTTCGGTATTTCTGAACTTTCTGGACTTTTCTTTTAAACGTTTTTAAAACCTTCCTACGATCTTAATAAACAAGAAAATACCTTTTAAGCATTTTTTTTAGGCGCGGAAACCACTTCAAATTACAAAAACATACGGAACTATATTCTCAAAACGCGGAGCACATTTCTTACCGAGGAAAAATAGCGGAGTGATATGGACCGCGGGTACTACTTTCTCTAGGGCACCCATTTTTGTTGCCAGCTGAACCTAAAAACGTGTTGCATAGTGTTTGAAAGACTAATTATTTATATGCTTTATAGTGACTGTAGGAAAAATATAATGTGTAACACGAGTGAAAAAGGCCTTTGCTGCACTCGAGATCATTCCACACTCGCCTGCGGCTCGTGCGTAAACATTGCTCTCGTGTGCAGCAAAGTGCCACTTTCACCACTAGTTACACAAATAACTATTTCACATGTTTAGTGTGTTGTTATGACAGCTGTTTCTATAATGTAAACAAATAGAACTGGATAGTGAAACAGTTTAATATGAACGAAGGATCTTGTGCGTAAATGGCGCATTTTAATATTGTTCAAGTTTCCCCAGGCAAAACTAGTAATTCACACTCCTTTACTTTTCAAAGATTATGATTGTTAAAGACAATAAATTAAATCTGTTGATTGTAGATATGAACCATAAGGGGATATTTCCTATGTCAATAGATTATTCATAAAAGGTGCCTATTTAAAATCCGTTTCCATAGACTGTTTCGTCTCCTGTTTACAATCTGACTTCATACACTCAACTGAAGGATCAGCTGTCAGCTGTTAAAATTACGATCCAAAACCATTTTAAAGAAAGTTATTCAGCATCAGTGGATCTCTGAAAGCAAACTCTACAGTAGATATATGCCATAAATTAAACCATGGATTAAGCAAACTGTTTTCTTAATCTATGACTAAACGCTCGTGGGCGAAGGCCTAGGCCTAGGAACAAAGGAACCCAATTTGTGCCATTTTAGTTACTATTCGTGCCAGCGCTAGATCATAAGCTTTAAAATGACACCACAATCGTTAAAATGGGTTTTGTAGGACAGAAGGGGATAATACAGAGAAAACCCTTAAAGCACTAATAATATAGATGCATAAAATAGAAAGTTGTTATTTGAATAGATGTTATATTAATTTATTTAAAGTAAAATGTAGTCCACACCCATCCCAGCTTTGCTAATTGTTTGTCACCATTTATCATTCATCGACAAATCTTTTGGTTGTCTTAAGCCTGTTCAAAAGAAACTGAGTTGGTTATTTGTTCATAAAATGATGTGGGGGGGGGGGGGAATTAGTCACGAATTAGTACGATTGTGGCACATATACTGAACTGTAGGTCCCTTAGTTGCCATTATCATCTGTATGGGCTTTTAATTAACAGCTGTGTCTAAGGAATGTCGGCCTTAGTCACTAACAAGACTACAAGATCGCTCCACTCATCCCCATTCATACTTGGCTTAAAATACCTCCTTTAAAGTTCGCCATTTAATAAGAAAGTATTTAAGTATCAACATATATTATTAGTTTTCACCTCTGGGTCTTTTTCAGAAGAGGGCTGCCAATTTTTTTAACCGTGGAATAACCATAGTTTAGGTTAGGTTAGGTTAGTTTATAGCTTTACTCACAAATTTTTTTGAATTTACTGAACAAAAATAATCGCAAAACTAAAAAATCACCTAACCTAAACTGTAGTTTTTCCACAGTTTAAATAGTAATGGCCATCTTCAGAAAAAGATCCAATACGTTAATTATTAGCACTTTTAATTGCATTTTTAATACTGAAAATAACTATCTTATATTGGTGTGTAGCATTTACAAATTAGGAATTTGAATTAAACATTATATCATAAATGAATTATAAAAGGAATGTATGACATTACGGGACCCTTTGCCAATGTTAATCTCAAGCTTTCCACACCAATTCCATTTGACAAAGAGAAAGATACGCTTGCTTCTAAACAATGCCTTCCTCTACCGCCCTCCAAGCATACGTCGACACATCTGACATGGCAAAGAATCTAAAGAACCTCTGTGATCGGGAGCACGATGTCTGCCTGTCTGTCTGCAATTATTCCTGTCTGTATGTTTGGCGAACTTTCAAGTTTTGTTAATGCGAAAAAATCCTTCACAATTCCCTCTTAAAATTAGTTTGGTGTTTTTATTTGTTCGAACAATAGACGTAAAACAAAAGTTAAAAAATAAACTAATCTAAGATGATTTGCAGTTGGAAATTGAGAAATAAATCTATTAGATCGACGGTTACTTTTTTAAATGACATGCATGAAATAAAGGTGAGGATAAATAATTGTAAGCCAATAATACACCATTTTGTCGGGTTTTGTTTGTTTATTACTTTTAAGGAAAGTTCAATTAGGAGACCAAACAAATTTAACAAATTTTAGGAGTTTTAGTTAATCTTTTGCTCGTTGCATACTTTTTAGAAGTTGTAATTCATGACACTGTACTGAAATCTCGATCTGACAAAGTAGGTCTTAACAACCCCTGAAATAAATCAGGGTGGTTTATAACCATCTTCTATATTAATTTGATTTTAATTTTTGGTTTTAGGGATGAGAACTGTCTCTATAGTAGAGAACTCCCTTTCCTAAAAATCATACGATGATAAAATTATTAGTACAATAAACAAGACGCAATCCAAGAATAAAAACCTCAAGGGAGCTATACGTTTAGGGGTCCGGACAATAAAGGAAACCTCAGTCCGGGTACTGAAGGTCCCACACTCCACAGTCCGGCTACTGAAGGGCCCATTCTGCCCGGTCCGGGTACTGAAGGGCCCACACGCCGCAGTCCGGGTACTGAAGGTCCCACACCCCACAGTCCGGCTACTGAAGGGCCCACTCTGCCCGGTCCGACTACTGAAGGGCCCACTCTGCCCGGTCCAGCTACTGAAGGGCCCACTCTGCCCGGTCCGGGTACTGAAGGGCCCACTGTGCCCGGTCCAGGTACTGAAGGGCCCACACTACGCATGTATCTGATTATACTTGTATGTGTACATTATCTAAAATTTTGTTGGGATATTTTCACGGTATGATTAGGTTTCCAAAAAGTTCGATTGACACACGGCAACAAATTTAATACCTGTTTATTAGAATTTTAGGCACAGTAGGGTTATTACACAGAGAGAATACAAGTTCAAATGATTTGGCCACATTATGTTTAACTTTTAATTAGCTTTAAACGAAACTCTTTATGTAAATTCATAATCGTGGCTCGTCTTGATCCATTTCAAAATAAAGTTATTGAAGTTTGGTTTCCAGAATGATCCAAACAGTATATTTTCAGACACAAGAACGGCACTTTAGTACATCGGCGTAAAGCGTTTAACTCTCTTAATAAAAGTCTCACCATGCTTTATAATTGGACAATGTATTTAAATGTTTTAAGAATTCGTAGTGGGAAATGGTACTGTAGGTTTGAGGTGGCAAGTGAAAATATTGGTTTCTGAAACACTTGTTTCATCGTTTCGAATGTCATTTTCCTCATTTTTCTCTCCTTTCCTGACTGCAAGAGATAAGAACGGAGTAATCCTTTTGGTGATTTCACTTTTCAAAAACTCCCCTGAAAGCAAAACGTCGGTCGACTCTAAGTTATAGACTTGTTCAAAGTAATCATCATACACTTTAGCTATTTCTCCATCAATCATTATTTTCTGTTGTTTAATATTTAGTGCTACTGGGTTTCCTTCCGCCTCTTCTAGAATAGTTTCATCATAGAATCTCCCTGATACGAAAGCGTCTATTCCATCCTCACACAGTTTTCGGTGTGATTTGAAATCGGCTTTTTGATCTTTAAATAGTTCTAATTCCTCTCGGTATTCTTGGACTATATAAATTGGTTTTTGGTCCTTTCTAAAGTGGCCTGATATGAGAAGACGCAAACGGGTTGGATCTCGTAACGCTTGTGCCAAGGGCTTTACTCCTCCACCATCCACATCTTTATCTTCGACATTTTCTTCCGATCTGTTGTCTAACACCCCGTCATATTTTCCATATTTTCCTTGTTCTTCTTTGATTATATTGTCTTCTTCTACTATATTTTCTTCTTTGCATTTTTCTTCATCTCCAATCTCTTCCTTTTCCTCCTCCTCTTCTTTAACCCTTCCTTCCTCCTCTTCGCCATTTTCATCATCCTCTTTACCTTTTTCTTTGTCCTCTTCACATTTTTCTTCGTCCTCTTCGCCTTTTACTTCATTCTGTTCTCCTCCTTCTTCCTCGTCTTTAAATTTCTCTTCCTCGTCTTCTCGTTTATCTTCCTCCTCTTCCTGAGCCTTTTCCTTCTCTTCGTAGTCCTTATCACTTTCTTCTTCTGTTTTTTTCGTTTTCTCGTTCACCTCTGATTTTCTTTTTTCTTCACTAACCTTACGTTTTTCATCGTCTGAGTCAGAACTTATATTATCTACTCTGTCTATCAAATTACTCATTTCTCTATGTGCCCTGTCGTAATTAGTCACATCGTAGGAATCAGAGTCTTTACATTTCTTTTCCTCGTCTTCTCCTTTATCTTCCTCCTCTTCCTGAGCCTTTTCCTTCTCTTCGTAGTCCTTATCACTTTCTTCTTCTGTTTTTTTCGTTTTCTCGTTCACCTCTGATTTTCTTTTTTCTTCACTAACCTTACGTTTTTCATCGTCTGAGTCAGAACTTATATTATCTACTCTGTCTATCAAATTACTCATTTCTCTATGTGCCCTGTCGTAATTAGTCACATCGTAGGAATCAGAGTCTTTACATTTCTCTTCCTCGTCTTCTCTTTTATCTTCCTCCTCTTCCTGAGCCTTTTCCTTCTCTTCGTAGTCCTTACCACTTTCTTCTTCTGTTTTTTTCGTTTTCTCGTTCACCTCTGATTTTCTTTTTTCTTCACTAACCTTACGTTTTTCATCGTCTGAGTCAGAACTTATATTATCTACTCTGTCTATCAAATTACTCATTTCTCTATGTGCCCTGTCGTAATTAGTCACATCGTAGGAATCAGAGTCTTTACATTTCTCTTCCTCGTCTTCTCCTTTATCTTCCTCCTCTTCCTGAGCCTTTTCCTTCTCTTTGTAGTCCTTATCACTTTCTTCTTCTGTTTTTTTCGTTTTCTCGTTCTTCTCTGATTTTCTTTTTTCTTCACTATCCTTACTTTTTTCATCGTCTGAGTCACTTATACTATCTACTCTGTCTATGAAATTACCCATTTTTCTATGTGCCCTGTCGTAATTGGTCACATCGTAGGAATCAGAGTCTTCTCCAATCAAACCCTTTATCCCTTTAGTTTTTAGTTGTGTATGAACGTCGTTTTTCATTGTTTCAAGATTTTCGTCTGGGACTAAGAACAACTTACCATCCACGTAGCCCTCGTGGTATAGGTGAACCTTGTCGTCTTTTGGTTTTTCTAGTTCAGGAGACAAACTTTCGTCTCCCAGTGCCTTTTTTGCAGACACAAGTTTCATTGTATCAAACATATCTGCAGGGACTGCTTTTGTCTTCATCTCTCTTCCTCTGATGGGCTTCTCTTTTAAGAATTCTGCGTGGTGCCTGCTCATGTTGCTTTGATGAGAAATGTAAAATTATTGTTTACCTAATAAATTTTGGTAAATATTTGCTGAGTTTGGTAATCATAACAAACATTCACTGGTTTTTTTATGTCACATGTGTTATTATGATTTGATTACAATATTCCCTCACAAATTCAATATTCTTATGGATCAGCTGAGTTAAGATCTTATCTTAGGCTAAATTCGTTTTGCAGAACGAGTAATAAACGATGATGTTTTAAGGGTGCGCTCTTACCTCAGCTCAGAAATCTCAACTCGGACCACAGTGGCTATTTTGCGCCATTGAATAGCGCCGCGAAAACCGCTTGCAGACGCTTGATTCCTCTTAAACTCACTTAACTTTTAAACTATTTTCATCTGAAAATTGTTCCTTACTCCTTAGATTAAAATTTATGACCCTACTTTTTAAATTTTCTTCTATGATGTGTATGAACTGTATTAAGTGTACTTGTAACTTGTATGAAGTGTATGACGTATGTGTAAAATGCTTTAGAAAAACGCTTATTTAGACGTATTTACCAGTCACATCCCACTAAAAATTCTACTATTATAAAAAAATTAAAAAAAGTACAAGCCTACAGATATAAGAAGTGAATAAATTAACACAAATATATTTTAAAACTGTTAAGAACTAAGCTGGCAATAACGGAGATCCTAAACCCTTGCATTATTAACGCGCGGCGGAGAGGTAGAGCGCACCCTTAATTAGAACGTTTTAGTTGTCAAAATAAATTTGAAATTGGTTTAAGAAACTGACCTAGAGATAGATACAACTCGAGGTAGCACTGAATGAGATAACTGCGAGACGTTAGACACCATTCTTATACTAGGGTATAAAGTATATTATACTTAGCACACTTGTACAAGGAAATTGTAATACATTAAGCAATGAGCCAATGAGCTGATTACCCTAGTTGGCAAAATTTACCTAATAAGATTTGCGTCTACATTTTCTAGCAGGTGTGCTAGTGCTACCTCTTGTTGTATTTCTCGTTCAGTGCGGTTTCAAACAACAAGAAATAAAAATATCAAACAACAAAATTACCTCTGCACAAACGGAGTGAGCCAACATTATAAATTTGACACCAGTATAATTTATGCCATTAATACGAAATAAATATACAACAGTTTTCAGAAATACCATTTAAAACTTCTGAGGACTCCTAAAACTCAATACATTACAATACATCGCACAAACACTAATTATAAAATCGATGAAACCTTTACAATAAGCAATAATTCGACCAATCGAACACAATGGACAATAAAGAAGCACGATGACAACGCGTGTACAGTAGTTGTAAATTACAATGAGAAAATTATGAGATAACCTTTGAGGTTCAAAAGTTGAGATGCTTCATCACCTGGCGCGGTCGTTTTAGCGGGAAATGGCGCTTGTGACAAACACTACTGCCAACGTAGAGAAATAAACGCAATAATTCCCTCCGGTGTGACATTATGTGGTGAGTCACTGTAATTATGTTGTTTACGACACCTTGGTTACATCTTGCAACATTTCCGGTTCCCCGGTGCAGCAGAGCGATGATTTGGCACTCAAACTGGCCCGTGTGATCTACCTGAGTCAACGTTGTAAATATCTTGCGTTTAACAGACATTCGTGTTTACTGAAAACAAGATTGGACTGGTCTCATTCACTTTATGCTTTATACTTTTCATTGAAATGGCGACCATACAAAGTAGGTAATTAGCCAAGTATGAATGGAGATGAGTGTAGGATGAGTGGCGCGATCTTGTAGCCTTGTTAGTGACTAAGGCCGGCATATTCCTTAGACACAGCTGTTAATAGCCCATACAGCTAATGGCAACTAAGGGACCTACAGTTTATAATGGAATCCGAACCACATTTTTAGCCTTGGTATTAACGAATTGGTCTAATTATCAGGATAGTACTGCGGATGGTCGTAGTACTCACTAGTGAGGACGTTAATCCATACTAGGGAGTATCGCATCCACAGTGCATGCCTATAAATATCCATAATTCGTGACTTCCTAGTAGCTATATTACAGGACAAAGCCACCGTCCCAGTCAAATCTGATTTGGTATCGGTATCAATATTTGATACGGCGTTTTAATTCTCGTAGAACAGTGAGCTAGAAATCCTGTCAACATTTGACTATAGATATGCTTACAACCGTTAAGTAACCCTCCAATTCATTCTCATTAATTCCACTGATTAATTCTTATTATCTAAGCCGTAGTCAGTATTAGGATAGCCAGTGTGTGCTGCGCAGTTGCACCAATATATTATTTTCTTTCTAATAAGCCAACGATTAAATCGTGCTAAACTGAAGTAACATCTAGAAATTCAACGATGGAATAATAATGAGTATAAACAACTAAAAGAGAAAGCTTGATTAGTAACACCATAATTTTCAAAAAGCCATAGCCTAGCCATCGGCTTAAAAAAGAAGGAAGAAAGAGTAGACATGTGGTAAGCACACTACTGTATATACATTCAACTACATGTTCTTTTTGATTATATCTGGCTGGCTACATGCTAAAGCGCCTGTATATAAAATAAAAAAAATGAATTCTGTCTTACAACTCTTTAATACTTTAATATGTGCTTACACTATGCTAAGATTGGGACGGATTGCGTCGTCCTGTAATCCAGCTACCAGGAGGTCACGAATTGTGGAAAATTATAGGGATGCACTGTGGATGCGATACTCCCTGGTGTGGTATAACGTCCGCACTAGTGAGTACTACGACTATCCGCAGTACTATCCTAATAATTAGACCAATTCGTTAATCACGAGGAAAAAATGTGGTTCGGATTCCACAATAAACTGTAGGTCCCTTAGTTGCCATTAGCTGTATGGGCTATTAACAGCTGTGTCTAAGGAACATGTCGGCCTTAGTCACTAACAAGACTACAAGATCGTGCCACTCATCCTACACTCATCCTTCACTCATATTTGGGTTTAAATACGCACATAGTGGCGTCCCCATCTTAAATAATTGATAATTGATAATTTATATGTTACATAAAGGTAATATATTCCAATTCCAACAGTAACGCGGTTATCGTAAAAATCGTAATAAAATTGTTTGAACACCTATTTCTGAGTCTCATGTTAAATTTTAAAGTTGTATGGTTTTTATAAGTTATAAGGGAATAATTGGAAAAAGAACCGTCTTCGGGTAATTTATCTGCACTCGTCATTATATAGGCATTTTAAACGTTATCATCAGCAGTATTTATTTACAATTTTTGAAATATACTTACTGGTAATTGCATAAAACTTGGTAGTTTTAAGATTGTCAGTAGGAATACAAGTTTTTACTGCTGTTCTCATAACGGTGGAATGCTTAGAATAAAACTGCTCAGAACATTCCAGCTACCTTGTATAGGGGCGAACAAGACGGTATTTTGATACAATTATGTTTTAACAAAATAGAGAGCAATGCGTTTCGGGGTCCATAAAGGACAAACAAGCAAACAAACATACATACAAACAAACATACATTGGATTTTATATACATAGATAATCAAGTTATTTTTTCAAATGTAATTCAACATCAATCAGAGGTTTGTCAATTATTAATATTGTTTGGTTTATAGGTAAAGTTTTTTTGTTGCTGCCCCTTTATTTCCTGTTTTATTCTTTGCGCATGTTTCTGCACCTTTTGGGCATGATTCCTTAACCTGACATTTTATTGTTTCTTTCATCGTGTTTTTTGGCCCGGGTTTTTCTTTTAAGATATTACATTAAACTAAAAACTCTCATCAAACTTGCCTGTACACCCCACCAGTAATCCTAAGTACTCTTTAAACCTGATGCTATTTGAGGAAATAGCTTAGGAAAATCCAATGAAGCAAATGGAAATTTGCTTAATCAGCAGGTTTGCTGCGGTGAGGATATTTTTACAAGTTCAACCCTTAAAACCCAGACTCTATAAATAAACTACTACAATTTTTGTTAGCGCTCATAAATAAAATTAATCTGAAAAATGATCACCAATCTTTCAACGCCTGACAAAAGGGAAACAAAGCATAGCGGTTCATTTATAACGTGGCTGGCGCACGAAAGGCAGGCGTTATATAACCTCATGCAGCCACTACACTAAAATATACTGTAATGGGATGCCGAAGATTCGTCTGCCCAAGGCTAGATATTTGTGACGCTGGCACATCGGCTGGACACAATAGAGAATAATTACTTTGGGGTACTTACAAAATATATAAACAATGGCAATTTACAAATTGCAGTATTATACGGCATGACATTAATTAGAAGGAACGAGAATTCTTCAATATCTGTGTTAGAGAACACAACATATGGAAGTATCTTTTCGAAGAAATACTATTTAGCCTTTAAAAACTATTAGCCCGTTGAATCTTAGTCTACCCATCCAAGACGTTTTGATACAATAAATATGATATTCCATACCGTTGGCACTATTTTTCAAGCGAATTGTGGCTATAGGTTAACGGCAGGACTTCACTTCTGGGCCTTATTCAAACCATAAAAATCATCAATGGTTGCCATCTTTTCAACGCCGTAACTACATGGCTCCAAACCAACCTATGCTGAAAGTTCACCAATCAATAAAAAAAATAAAACTCATTGTACGAATTCTTCCTTTTCAAGAACTATCTTCCAGTTTTTTTTTTCACTAAGGTTATTGATGACGATAACTTCTCATTCAATAACCCTTGACATATATAATTTAGTTCTTCCATACAACAACAGTATGGAATTTTGTTGTATGCAACTTTTAAAATAAATTATGCATATTGAATTTTAAACTGCATTTGCCAAATCGAGTTTTAAAACTTATAAAATTTTAAGTATGCTGAAGAAGGCCTCTAGAGATCAGAAGAAGGGACCATAGGGACCCACTAGATCAGTGAAACTTTGCCTACCTATATGCACCTATATGAATTACTAGCTGTAACCCACGGGCTTTGCCCCGTTTAACTTCTTAATTTTCAAGATTATCTCGTTCGCATGGCTCAATC